GCAGAAAGAAGCAGAATTTTTACTGAAATAGCAGAAAAATGCTAAAATTGGAAAAAAGTAGCTAAAATTACCGTATTTTTCGGACTATAAGCCACGACTTTTTTCCTGAACTTTGAACCATGCGGCTTATAGTCCGGTGCGGCTTATATGTTAATGTTCGAGGTTTTTTTTTTTAAATGGCGGGTGTGGGTTATAGTCCGAAAAATACGGTAATTTTAGCTACTTTTTTCCAATTTTAGCATTTTTCTGCTATTTCAGTAAAAATTCTGCTTCTTTCTGCTATTCTTCTGCTTTTTATGCTACTTTGTGCTATTTATGCTTCTTACAGTTGCTTTCTGCTACATTCAGCTATTTGCTGCACTTTTAACTAATGTTTAGCTGGTATTAGCTAAAGTTAGGTTTTTGTAATATTTTGTATATTTTTGTAATTGTTACAACTATTCTGCTAAAAACTTGAGCTTCTTATGCATCCTTATGCTAATTAAAATGTTTCCAGCTATGTTTTAGCTGTTCTAATGAAAACTTCAGCTGTTTCAAGAACCACGTGTGATGGCAGTTACCTGCTGCTACCCCAGAGTGTTACCAATAAAAATGTTACCAATAAAAATGTTACCAATAAACAGGTTTAATATGTAAATTCAATGATAAACTGAACATGGAGGTTGTTGAGTCAGAATCAATGAAAGAAAGTGGATTAAATGTTTACCTTACATTCATATCTACAATACATGAACATGTTACAGTTATCTTTGTTTTTTTATTTTACCAGGCAAGTCCATTGAGATCTCAGATCTACTTTTCAAGGGAGGTCTGGGCCTGAAGGCAACATGTTGTACATGTTTTGGGGGGTGGGGGAAACCAGAGTACTGGGAGAAAACAGCAACATTTAGAGTCCTGCTCCTTGTTCATAGGTCCAGCCCGTATAAACTTGCAGAATACAGAAGGGAARGGGTTATTATTGTAAAACTCACCCAGATCTCAAAGCTGTGATGATACAATCAGCACAGAAGCGGTGCAGACACTCTTTGGTTGTCATTGTGTTCTTCAACATGTCCAGGCAGATGGGACACATGAGTTCACTGTGCAAGGACCTGGGTGACACTGCTATCTCTAACCCATCTGTTATAGCCTCCTGTGACAGACAGAAAAAACACGTTAACACTGCAGAGACTGGTTTTAACTGTAAAAACCAWGACCACAGACAATAAGATGTTTTACACTGTTAAAACATCTGTGTTCAATTACAGATGTCACAGAAGCTTCAGATCAACCAGCTGGGTAATAAGGACCATCCTCTATCATAACCAACGCCTTAAGGCTGGCCGTATGACCTCAGATTCATATCAGGGTATAAACTGAACCCCTTCATGGTAACAGTATATATCACAGTACAAAACTATCATAAAATGTTAAGATAATATAATTTTTAGAGCTTTGTTTTGCAGAAAACTGTAATCTTAATTAAACCCAACATTTTTGCTTTAATATAAACCTGCCAAACAATGAGCTTCTGCCTGCTGAACATTTCAGCTGCTGCTCTGCTGCTCGCTCATCTTCATCCTCATCTTCATCAGAGCAGGAGCTGACTTTACATTAGCAAGATTGATTAACGACTGAATGAACGTACACGTCTTTTTTAAAACATCTCTGTGGGTAACAATACATAAAAACAAGTTTTTTCTCCGATAACTTGGGTGTAAAAACTAGAGTTGTTAAAGCTTCGCTCTGTGTGACGTGCAGCAGGAGGGAGGAAATGATCCCGCGACACGATGTAACTTTTCTACAGCGGGAGGGGGAAATTTTGAGGATTTATCCTCTTTACGTGTTTTAAAAAACATTATAATTTATTTGTTTTATTTCGAACTCCTCCTGCTCAGTTGTCTCTGCACTCACAGCCCTGTTCTCACAGGTGTGATGATGTAGTGACGACATGACGGTAGAGGATAAATTTCTACCGTCTGCAGCAYATACCACACAGCCCTACAACGCCTCCATATTTTTATGTTTTAAATTTCCTAAAATTTGTCTTGGTATTTTTGTGTAATTTTGACAGCAGACARAGAAAACAAAACACTTCCATACTTTGATGTAATTTTGACTGTCAAGGATAAATAAAGCAGAAACTGAGACAGACATTGAAGCTGCATCATTTACTGAATGCTTCACTTTTTCCACACAAACTAGTTTCAACATTTCAGGTATTCAAACCTGCAACCGACTGATCAAAGACAACTTCTCTAACCTCTGTACCACCACTCCCCCTTATGGCTCATATGTATTACAAAACTATATGTTACAAGTAGGGCTGCAACGATACAGGAAATTCACGGTTCAGTTCAATACTTTAGTCTCACGGTTCGATATTTTTTCGATACAWAAAAGAGAAATGTCCATGCCCCTTTTAACTCGTAGTTTATTTAAATTAATTATGAACATTTGTTTAACCTCAAAAGTACAGTTTTTAAATTAAATGTTGCTGAAACAGCAAGTTTCTCAGTGGATCTGWGCTCMAAAATRCAGCCTAGGTGGAGTAGTCGAACACAGATCCACTGATCCTTCAACACAGAGCATCTTCAGAAGACAAGTTGATAAAATAAAAGCACTGTTCGATACAGGTACATGTATTGTTGCACCCCTAGTTACAACTGTTCGCACCCTTTTGTTACCAAAGACAACAAAATAAGAGTCAACATGTAAGGTCAGCAGTGAGCATTGTTCTCAAACCTGTGAGTTTCAGAAAAGTTTCACTGTCTGATAATAGAAACACTTGACAGTCGTTATATTTTCCACAAAGCAGATGAAGACTGMGACGGTAGAAAAGCCTTAGTGAGACATTACCTGTGGTGTTCTCTGCAGCTCATACAGACTCAGCTCCCAGGTCTTACTGAGAGACTGAATCCCGTTGGTTTGAACTGTCTGAGTCATGCCTGCAACACTGAAACAAAATAAATATATATTTATTAAGACTTCAAATTCACTGTGATTACAAGTAATGAACCACAGCAACAGTAAACTCTTCCTAACACAACCTGGGCTCAAACCTGCAGCTGAGCAGGGTTAAAGACCGCTGCTCTGACCACCGAGTGACCACTGCTCAGCTCCGACTGTTAAACAGGAACTTACCCCCTAAATAGTTGGGCATAATCGTATCATGTGCAATTAATAGTCAGAAAGACAATCAATTATTTTTGGCTTTTGATGATTAATACGATTAAAGTGTCTGTGACGTCAAATTTTTGTAATAAAGATGAATGTACAGTATTTTTAGAAAGAGGATATTGATAAAATATTGCAAAACAAATTTCATGTCTCTGAGATGAACAGCTGTTGAGATATTTGCCTGTGAAGAAACAGGAAGTGATGTCAGAGGGGAGTGTTTTCATGTGAACAGAGCGTTGCTAACAGCTAACAGACTGTAGAGAAGAATCTGATGTTTCTTTAAATTATTTAGAGTCATTATCAGCGAGTCAGAGTTCAAATAATACTGTTTTAATAAACAAAGACCAGAGTTTCCTTTGTTAAAGACTTCCCCTTTGATGTCACTTCCTGTTTCACTTCGGCTGAGTCAAGTTCAAAAGAAAATAGGCCAGTTATGGGACAAACTGGGTAAAATGTGTGTATTGTTCCAACTCTCTTAAATATAAAGATGTTTTCTTTGACTTCTTGTATTTGAAGAATACGTACTGTATGTCACAGACACTTTAATGGCACCAGTCAGTCCGCTCGGTGCTCGTCTCCACTGCAAATATGACC